AGGTGCCAGGAGAGATGTCACCGTCCCTGCTGCCGCCGGTGCCCCGCGCACCCGCGCCGTGCCGCTGCAGAGGGGAGAGAGGACGTGGGGCAGTGCCAGGGCAGGAGCGCCCCGGTGTTCGTGCTATGTCGTTCCCTGGGTGGTCCCAGTGCACCCCCACGCTGTGACCCCCCTTCCCGCACCCCACACCTGGCTGAGCCGCGCATCGCCGGGGTCCAGCCGGGGGTCCCGACATTCCCTTGCCCGGGATCCTGCCAACCCCGCCTGCTTCCGTGGGTCCGGGTCTGCAGAGAGGAGGCAAAAGGAGCTTCTTGTACCCTGGGCTTGCAAACCGCTCCGCTGCGGAGTGGGTGGGAGAAGCCCGTCCCCGGCAGCACCGGAGCAAAGGCCGGGGGAAAAACGGGCACCCCCGCGGCCGGGGCGCTGCGCCGGGCACCCGTGTGAGCCTTACTGCGTGTCTGGCCTTTGAAGACAGCTTCCTCCAGCTCCATGCCGGCCACCAGGGCCTGAAACACAAGGCAAGGTGAAGGTAACATGCCCTAGAAACCCCCCACGCACACTGTGAACTCATTAGGCTTCAGAGTGAACACGACACAGCCCACCCACCTCCCAGCGCCGCGGTGCGGGGCTGAGGGCCACTCCACGGGGGTGCCGGGCGGATCTGCGGGCGCTGCAGGCTGCAGAGGTTTGCCTTTCCTTAAAGCCAAGGCGCGGGCAGGCTTGCTGCCCCCCGGGAGCTGCCAGGCCCCCCGGCACCCCATTTTTGAAAAACGCGCCGGGCTGGGGCAGGCAGGACGGTGGGCAGGACGGTGGGCAGGACGGGCAGGACGGGCAGGACAGCAGGCAGGGCAGGCAGCGCTGTGTGTGCATGTCACCTGGCAACGCTGCAGCGACCGACCGGCCAAGTCTCAGCCTGCCCCGGGGCTTCCCCTTCCCGCCTCCACAGCCTCTGCCCAGACCCTCCTCCAGCTCCCCCGGGGCCTCCTCTCCTGACCCACCTACTCTCGGCCACCTTCTGCCCCAGGCAACATCCCCTGAGCCGTCTCCTCCCCACCATCCCCACAGAAACTCCTAACCTGGGCACCTTCCCCATGGCCACCCCTCCTGTTCCTCCTTCCCTGGACATCCTCCCCAGGGCAACCATCTTCTCCTTTGGCCAGATTCCACTGGGACATCTCCTCCTTGGATGATCTCTTCCCATGGCCCTCCTCCCTCCTTGGGCAATCCCTTCCCCAGTCCTCCTCCTCTAAGCTCTCTCTCCTGGAGAACCTCTTTCCACAGCTACCTACCCCTGGCCCTCATGTTTCTGCTCTCCTGGCCCTCTTCCCCTGGGCAACCTTCCCTTGGACATCTCCTACATTGGACAACCTCCACTGGGCCATCTCCTCTCCTGGCCCTCCTTCCCCTCCCCAAGCCACCTTCCCTGGACCATCTCCTCCCCTGGACAACCTTCCCCCAACTCCTTCTCCTTCCATGAACCACCACATCCCTGGACCTCTGGGCCACCTCCCATAGCCCTCCTTCCCCTGGGCAACCTCCTCCTTTGAACAACCCTCCCCGGGCCACCTCCTCTCCTGGCTTTCCCTCTTCCCTCAGCCACATTCCTTGGACCACCACCTCCTCTGGGCCACCTCCCGTGGTCCCTTCCCTGGCCACCTCACCTGCCACCCACCGTGTGCCCAGAGCTCACCCGCCTCGGGGCTCCTCCAGGTCCCCCACCTGCAGCCTTGGGGAGCGAGTGACCATCTCAGCACTGCGGCTTTTTAAAACTCCCGAATCCAAGTTTTTATTACCGCGTAGGAGAAGAGGGATCACTCACAATATATTGTTCAAAAAGAAATACATTCAACAGCATTTACAGTGGAATGACATTAAAATCCTCTGGGGAGGGAACAGAAAGACCAGGAGATGGTGCTCCGATTAAGTGCTGCCGCTAGATGATCTCTGGAAGATAGAGCAATTTTTAAAACGAGCCTAAAAAAAGGTGGTGTTTTGTTTTGGGGGGTGCTCCTCGCGCTGCCCCGAGCTCCGCTAAGCTGTGCGGGGTCTGCGATGGGGATTTCTAGACAGACGCAGCGATGGGGGGTACATCAGAGAGGAGCTCTTGGGGTCCCGGAGCCCAGCAGGACCCTCGGTGCCAGCACTCCCTGAGCAACATCTCGCTCCCCGCTCTCCTCCGCCGCGGGAACGCTCGGATCCTGGTCCGGGGACAGCAAGCGCGGGAGTTTCTCACCTCTCCGACTTCTCGAGGAACGCTTGTGTTGACAAAACGAGGAAAATAAGGCATTTTGAAGAGCTCCGTTTCCAGCCCGTTTTACAAAACCGATTCAGGCCTCGAGCGGAATGAAACCCCCCCGGGCAACTTTGGTTGCCGCCACAAACCACACCAGCGGCATCACTGCTTAGCGCGGAGCATCCTCCGCTCTCCCAGGCAGGGGAAAGCCGGTCTCCAAAGGAGATGCGCACGCCCTGGGGCCAGGACAACCCGGCAAGGCTGCAGCCAACAGCAAATGCGGATTTGGATCACCGAAGAGCTGCACCGGCTTTACCGAGCCACGGGGAAACCCCCGGGAAGGGTCCGGAAGGAGCGAACACGCCAGAGCGGCTGTTCTACCACCCAGAGAGCCGGAAAGCGGCTTGGAGCATCCCGCTCCCAAAGGCCACGGTTACCGAAGCCGCCCTTCAAACCTCAAATGCGGCGTTTCTAGAAGGGGAACGTCTTCCTAACGCCTTTGGCCCGCGATCGCATCCAGCGCTGGAGCAGAATGTCACCTCTCTACTTGGGGGAATTACTGCGTCACCGTCACCCTGACCCCCGACCTCCGGCACAAGCCTCGGGCAATCGTACTCGTGCTGCAAAAACTCAGACAGACACTTCTGTCTTCATTATTTTTCCATCTATTGTGTACCATAGAAACTTAAGCAAAATAATTTTATATATTTTTTTTATATATATATATCTGGAGCAGAATGTCACCTCTCTACTTGGGGGAATTACTGCGTCACCGTCACCCCTACACCCGACCTCCGGCACAAGCCTCGGGCAATCGTACTCGTGCTGCAAAAACTCAGACAGACACTTCTGTCTTCATTATTTTTCCATCTATTGTGTACCATAGAAACTTAAGCAAAATAATTTTATATATTTTTTTTTATATATATATATATAAATTAGAAGCAAATAAATAAGATTAAAGGGTACATTGAAATCCGTGGGTGTTGCCACTCCGACAGCCACTCACTACTGCGACGCCGTACACGGTCTCTATCTACTGTACACGTCGGTTTGCTGGAGATAGCGGGTACGGAGGTGCTGGAAGAGAAGCCGACCAGGAGGAGACCGATGGTTGAGGAACCTGATTGCATAAGTGTCCCATGTGCAGCCTGGATATTCCAGTTACCATTGCCTCAAAGTTCATTATTGCTAATTATCTTCCAAGGTGGATGTGACAGTCCGGCGAGGGGTGGCCTCTCCCCCCCCGGCCCCCGGGAGGCAGCAGTCAGTGTGATATGATGAAGATCCGGAGAAGAAGACATCAAAAATAGAATCTGACGGGGCAAACGCGGGTGTCCAGGTCTCCCTGATACTCTCTGGCTCAGCGGATCCCATCTTCGGGGTCCTGCCACCCCCGTCCTCCCCTTCGCTGCCGGGGACCGGCGGTACCCACCTCGCTCCTGGTCCTCGCCGATCATGGGCAGGGCTTGCTCCGCTCCTCCCGGCGGGCCCAGGGCCGCAGCGAGGCGACGGCACGCCAGAGGGGTGTGCGGGGGGACGTGGGGTTCCCCCAGCCCCGTGCTCAGGCTGCTTTAGGGATGACCTGACACCGCTCCTGGGAGAGACCGGCCCCGAGGGAGGAGGAGGAGGAACGGAGCCGGGCACCGGGCGCCCTCCAGGCTCAGCCTGTGACCCCCCCGTGCCAGGGGACTGCGGACCGGACCTGTCTGGCGTCACGGGGCAGACACGGGGATGGGAGACCCGGGAGCAAGGCTGCATCCCAGGGAGGCTCCATCCCGGCGGCACCACGGCATCTCTCCTGCCAGCCTGGGCTGCGGCGAGACGGGGCGGGAGGGAGGCGGTACGCGGACCCCGGAGCATCCCCGGGCTACAAACCCCTTCGCTCTGTGTCTGCCGGGCGTTCCCGACCTCGGCGAGGCCATTTCAGACACAACCGCAGGAAAACCAAACCAAACCCTCACTCAAATCGCTCTCACGAAGCATCACGGTAAAGACAGCCCTAAGCCTTGACTGAGCAGGGCAGACTGCGGGGAACCTGCTCAAACGCTTCGTTTAAAAAAGTGTCAAAACCAAAAAAAAAAGTCATCAGCTGAAATATCCTAATTGGTGTTACTGGGACGACTGGGCACTGCGGGAACCACCAAGAGCCTCCAGGATCAAGCGCCACAGTCCCCGGAGACGGTTTTCTGAGCAGGACACAGGGTTGTTCATGTCCATCTTTGAAGGAACCCGAACCAGGAGCAGGTATTTTTAAAAAAAAAAAAAATAAAATTCCATAAAGTCCACACACAAATGGGGAAAAAAACCTCAAAAAATAACGTCAAAGAGAAGAGCTCCCACAACTGCACGGCATCCCCACAACGCGAGCATCTTTGGAAGTCGACGTCTCAGCTGCTGAAGCCGAGGCGATGAAAGATATAGGCAGCAACTCCTGATAGCAATAAATACGCTAGGCTAAAAACGAACCAGATTCGCATCTCCCCGTTCCTAATTATTCGCTGAAAAAGCCAACTTTAAAAAAAAAAAAAAAAGAAAAAAAGAAAAAAAGAAAAAAAAAGGGTTGCTATTTATTAGTGCGTAAAAAAATAGGTTTGGAATCCCTGTTTAGATTTTCTTTTCAAATTTCTGCATGTATTGACTCTGTGTATGTATTTGCACTGTTAACTGCCGGCGGGACCCCCCCAGCCTGTCCTCGCTGTCCCTCTGTCCGTCATTCCGGTGAATGGAGGCGCGGGGTCGACCGCCCCGGCGCGAGCGGAGCGGCTCAGAAGATGTCGGGACACGTACTCCAGTCCTGCTTGTCCTTGGCCTCCCAGTAGCCGCCCTTATAGACGCAGATGAGCTCCCCCGTCACGGCATCCACCTTGCGCTCAAACCACAGCGGGATGTAGCCTTCGTAGTCCTTACCTGTGCGGGGAGAAACGCGGGGTAAGAGCTGCTTCTCCCGCCCGAACCGACGCCGGGTCCTTCCCTCGTCCCCCAAACCCAGCGGGGTTTCTTCGCCGCATCCCCCTCCCGCGGCGAGGGGCGGCCGGTCCCTGCCCACCGGTCTCCCCGCGGCCGTCCCA